AAAAAAGGAAAAGGGAAGACTGACTACAGCAATGGGCTCAGACATGGCAACAATTGTTATAGTACAGGGCTGTGCATTATTTCTATCAGTTGCACATGGCTTCACTGTGAGGTAAAATTGATTCAATAAAATAAATACAGCATTAAAAAACACCGAAGACTTTAATTCTATCACAAATGTGTACTGTATCAAAAAGTAAAAATAAAAAAGAGGAAGCTAAACCTATGGTCATGAACCCTTTTATAAAGAAGTATTGTTGTTTAGGTAGCTGTGATGATCTAGTTGCTAAGAAGTTGCACTGCTAACACAAAGGTGACTGGTTCAAATCTACTAATAACTCTACAGGAACAAGAGGGGCAATCTCCTTTTGGCAGTTTAGAGCCTCTGAAAACTCAGTGGAGGATCAGCTATGGGTCCATTCTGACTCCATGGCAATCACTTTTGTTGTTTAATATTATTGTAATTCAGTAAATTGTTCTTTCAAAATTATTATTCCTCTTTATGTGGTTAATTTTTAGGTTCTAGGAATTAAAATGTAAAGAGAGGTATTTACCATCACTCTCTAAGCACAGGGACAATACCTGCCAATCTTTTACCTTGTTTACTTCAACTACACTTGCATGACCTACATTGCTAAACCTCTTTGTTGTTTCTTGAATCACCAAGCATGCTCACTTCTACAAGTCTTTGAACATGCTTTTCTTCAACTAGGGAGCTCTGTTGGGCTGAGTGGTAAAGAATTGCACTGCCAATGCAGAGGTATACTCTTCAAATCCATCAGCTTCTCTGCAGGGGAAAGATCTCCTCTGGTGCAATTTACTGTCTCTGAAAATACACTGGAGGGTCAGTCAGCTATGGGTCAGTTCCAACTTAACAGTTAACAAAAATACGCAAAATCATTTCTATGAATAGATTATTTCTGGGCTTTCTAGCTAAACACTACACCTTTATCTCCTTACCTTATTTTTCTTTTGTTTTGTAAGAAAATTTTCTTTTCCTTTATTCTTTTTTAAATTGTGGTAAGATATTTACAACATAAAATCTGGCATATCATTTTAATTGTTTTGACTTACAACCCAGCGGCATCAATCATATTCACTATTTTGCAGACAATATTTGATTCCACTTACTTATATCTCTTCTACTGTTATATAATATTGTCTGCTACTCACACTGTCATTGTTTTAGGTACTATTAAGTCAACTCCAATGCACAGCAATCCTGTGTACAAACAAAACACTGCTCAGTCCTGCACCCTCCTCACAAACATTATTGTCTATCAATCCATTGTTGCACTGATGACATCAATTTATCTGGTTAAATTAGTTTGTCCTATGGAAGCCAATGGTACATTCAATTTTCTTCACCAACATCCTAATTAAATGCATCAACTCCTCTTCAGTCTTCTTTTTAAATTTTTACTGCTGCTAATACATTAGAATTTAAGATCAACAAGGGAAGAGATTTATGTTGACTACTCAATCTCCAGTGCTTAGAATAGTGGCCAATAAATTTTTGCTAATTATATGCAAATGAAATTTTATAATTATTTTTATTATACAATTTTTTTCTCTTGTTATTTCATTATTAGACTTTTGGAATTTCAAGACATGTTGAAAAGCAACTATCAGTATACAAATGTTGGTAAAGAGTGATACTCCAAGTAGGATAATATGAATTTAAAAAAATTTTTGTTTAAAATTATTCATAATTTATTTTGTTAAACTACACAATTTAACTCTTTAATGGAAAAATATTTCCTGTGAAGTACTGTCATGATTTTTAAAAATTAATAAATAGGAAGAATACAATTGTGACTGATATAACTAATATCATAAAACAAGACATATAGTCCTACACAACGCTGTTAGGACTGCTTTTCTTTTTATTTCTAGTCTTACTGTTTTGTGTCTTTCACCTGTTTTCTTCTTTTGGCTAGCAGAAGGTTACTGATTTTTGTTATATTTTATCACATGAGGTTCCAAGGTTTTGTTGTTAAAAACAATTGAACATTAATAATTTAACATGATTAAACCTAACATTGGCAAGCAAAAAAAAAAAAAAAACAAGACGTATGTAAATGCTTACGGAGAAAGTCTACTTATTCTGTAAACTTACCCTCAGATCACAATTACAAAATTAGAAAAATTGAAAATAGGCCTTATAAGACTAAAAAACAATAACAATTAAAAAACAATACATGTACTTATATGTATCATAGAAATGTACCTATATTTATATATATATATATTATTCTTACAGTTACATTAATTATATAGTAAATACTGTTATAATTAGTCCTTATTATATTTCATTATACACTTGTGAATTTCTCATTATTTCCATAAATTTTTTATGCAATTACAGACTAGAAATTTTAATTACCATCACAAGGATTCAATACCACAATGTCTGTTCATTTTCTTTCTTATTTCACCATGGAACCATGTACCCTCATTGCAATTACTGTAATTACCATCTGCCTAGACCCTGGACACATGACTAATTATTGTACAGTAAAAGAATAATCAGGTGACAGTATTACTGTAAACAAATTGTAAACCACATGGCTACCTAAAAAGGAAGTAAAAATAGAAAATTTACCTTTAATGAAACTATTTATTATCTTTGGTTTTCCTACTCCTTCCATAAATACTGGATAAAGACTGAACTGATACCTCTCAATGGGGATGAAATGATCTGAAGATAAAAGTAAAATAAAAGTTAATTTTTAAGGAATTAAGATTAATCAGTGGAGGCTATACAATAAAAATAAATGTTAAATGACTCTCCTATATTTCCAAATTAGTTGTTGTTAAGAGAGAGGATTTAAAAAAACAACCTAAGGACCCCAAAATCTCCTAGCAATGACAAAAAAAATGCTTGGAAATATTTTTTTCTTAAATTAAAAAACAAAAACAAACTTAACCAGGTATGGAAGACTTCAACTTTTCAAAGGTGTATTCCAGTGATAGCAAATTATTTGTTCAAGTAGTTCAGGGTATATGAGTTGTTTCTTTGACTCATTTTTCTCTCTCTACAAAAATATACTCTACCTTTTTTTACTTATCTCCAAAACAAACAATATTCTCTTTTCATAGAAAATCTGACTTATTTAATATCCCTATTGGAGAAGCTGAGAGTTTGTCTTGTGCAACCCTATACAACAATCATGAGGGGAAGAGACTAAGAGTTGTGTTGTGACATGCTGGAACCTAGAATTCTAGGAGGACCATGATCTCCATAGCAAATCTCATAATGAATCCATCAGTTTTTCACAAATACTCACAATTATGGATATTATTTCACAAGACACTTCTCTCTTTTAACCCAAAATTCCATGTCCCATGTCTCCAGTGAAACAAAGTGTAGCCTCTTGGGCAATAGCTATGATGAGTAAATTGCATTCCCCATCAATAATTTGTTTAGCTTGATGCTAAATTACATGAGTCTGAAACGAAACAAACTAGAAGTCCTTGCTACAACACTTTACAATAAAATTACAAAAATTCTTGATTTCTCTCCTTAATTTTTTGGGGGGGAGGTACTGAAACCTGGGAAATGGTCTCTCTTTAGTTCTTACTCAGAGTGGAGACTGCTATTTTACATGTTGTTCTGTTAACTAAAAGGCTGCTGATTCAAATCCACAAGCCAATCAGAGAACAAAGATGGATAATCTCCTCTCAGAAATATTTCAGGCTTGTAAGCCTGATGATGAGTAGCCAAGAATCAGAATTAAGAGTAGCATCTGATTGTTGGGGTTTATTTGTTTTGTTTTGGATAGGGTTTTGGTCTTTTTTTTACTTTATCTTCCAGGAAAACCACTGTTTTGTTTTGAGGAGGGTTATACTGGCCTCATGGTGCAATAGTAAACATGAGTTGACATTATCTTGTTGTTGTTATGTGCTATCGAGTCGCTTGCAACTCATAGCAACCCTATGTACAATAGCCCTAAACTCTGCTCTGTCCTGTGCCAATCGCACTGCCTCTGACACACCCATCTCGATTACCCAGTCACTGAATCAATCCACCTCATAGAGGGTCTTCCCCTCTTGCGCTGTCCCTCCACCCTCCCAAGCATGATGTCCCTCTTCAAGGACTCGTTCCTCCTTAGAACATGTCCAAAGTATGTCAGATGAAGCCCCAGAATCCTTGCCTCCAAAGAGCAGCCATGTTCAACCCTCTCCAGGATGAATCTGTTTGTTTTCTTAGCAATCCATGGTACATTCAATACCCTTCTTCAGTACCACAGCTCAAAGGCATCAATTCTCCTTCTATCCTCCTTAGTCACTGTCCAACTCTCTGATGCATAACAAGTGATTGCAAAGACCATAGCCTGTATCAGATGCACCATAGTCTCCAGAGTGACACCATTGCTCTTCAGTACCCTGGAGAGGTCCCTAACGGCAGACTTTCCCATCACAATACATTTTTTTATTTCCTGGCTGCTGGTGCCAAGAGTGTTGACAGTGGAGCCAAGCAAACTAAAGTTGTTAACAATCTCAATCTCTTCACATAATTTTACTATAACTGACTTATCTTACTCAGTTCTAGATCCTTAGACTAGACCTATGCATAGCCATAAATAAGAATAAAATTTCAAAAGTTTAAAATAAAATGAAAAGTTCAAAGCACATAAATCTTCTAAAAGTTTCAATGTTTATATAAACATTGGAATAAAATACCACTGTGACTATTAATTAAAAAGAAAAGTTCTAAGATTGCAGAAGAAATGGAAATATGCTGTGTTATAACATCACATGAGAAACCTACGTTAAAGTGGCACAAGACATGATCACAACCTAAAAATATAAAAAACAGTATAGAAATACTCAAAACACTAGAAGGAAATAGAATTAAAAGATTGTGACAAAATGATACCATTATTTGTATTAAAATGTTAGTATTAACTGTTTTCATTAAATAGTTACATTATTTGTTTTCATAATCTGTAGTGTCAAAGTATTCCATGAAAGGAAATAATTAAACTTACCATATACGTAATATTTCTTAACCGATGGAAGGACTCTATTCCATTTAATTTCACTGTTCTCATCAAGACTTTTCCATTCAATAATAAAATACATTAGATTGTAATCACTGGGTGACAGCATCCAAGAGAGAATCACACAACTGTTATTTAAAGGATAAGCAATGAATGACCGCACGATATTTACTGAAGGAGGGGGAAAAAAAGAAATTAATTCTTAAATTAAAACTTAAAGAAAATATCTTATTATCCATTACCCTTTAGAAAACTACTATCTAGTGGAGAAGAGGGAAAGCCAGACATTTAAATTAATAAATAAAGTACACAGACGTTATTAAGGAAATATAAGTAACAATATAAGCAATGAAATATGAGAATGTGTAACAGGAGAAACACTATTCTAAAATCGAAATAAAAACATTTTTGGCTATCATACAAAAAAGTATTCTTTCCTGAAATATCACACAACATCTTTTCTGATTTTCTCCAAGCTCTTACCTACAACTTACAATCTGGTAATTTTACCATCCTCTATACAGTCTAAAGAAGCACTGATGATGGTGTAGAGGGTAATTTATCAGGCTGCTAATTAAAAGGTGGGTAGTTCAAAACCAGCAGCTCAGTAGGAGACAAAAAAGCAGTCTTCTGCAAAGATTTACAGCCTCAGAAACCCAATAAAGGGTCACATCCAAACTGGCAAGATGCCAGAAGGTTCCGCAAAGTAGTGCCTAAGAAGCCCTGGTGGTGCAGTGTGTAAAACATCGAAATGCTAACTGAAAGGTTTCATCAAAGCAAAACCATTAGTAGTCTTGGGTCACTTTGAGTTGGATCCAGCTGGAGGGCAATGGGTCTGGGCTTTTAAAAGTATTATTATTACTATTATTATTATTACAGAATAAAAAAGAAACACTGAATGTATAATGGGTTAAAGGGTAGGCTGTTAATGAAAAGGAATTTGACCTTTGAGAGAAGATATGGCAATCTGATCCCATAAGATTACATTCTTGAAATCATTGTGAAGTAGTTTTACTATTCAGAATCAATTTGACAAGCTACAGAAATTTTGAAAGACCTCTATTTCTCTTCTTACCTTTGCTCATAGGCCATGAGAATGTTATATTAAAATTTGTGAAAGAAGCACCAATTGAGTTGATAGCGAGAACTGTGACAGTATGTGCTTGCTCTGTCCACAGGAAAGTGAATTTAGTATGATTTCCCATATCTTCTGACCATGTTCCATTGCGGGAGGTGTGATGTTTCACCACATACCTTCTCACACTGCACAGTGACTCTTGTTTCATCAAGGGCTGTAGCAAACATTAAAGGTGGTGATTAGTTTAAGGGACTATGGTGCATTTTATACCAACTAAGCAAAAGAAACTAAGCTGAATTCATGAAACTCTCATTATACATTTCTTACTTGCAGGCAACTCTAATTTAAAGGATAATGTATGACAGCAGGGAGTAGAAGTGCAGTTGGTACAGGTAGGAGACTGGAGGCAGGCCTCAGAAGGTGTATGAAGGTTCTGATAGATCCTGGAACATGTTGCTGTTGTTAGGTGTCATCCCTGACTGGTAGTGACCCTAAACAACAGAAAAAACCCTATTCGAACCAATACCATCCTCATAATCTCACATTGCTGTAGCCACTGTATCAATCCATGCAAAAGAATAAACAAATCTGTCTTAGAAAATCTGGGAACACAGGATAATTATTTTCCTTCTGTTGGTTATCTTTTTACACCACTTAAAGGTAAGAACCTGAGCTGCAATTTCAAAGGCATGCGGTTCAAATTCACCAGCTACTTCACAAGAAAAGGATAGGAAATCTCTGGTGCAAATTACTGGCTCTGAAAACCCACTATGAGTTGATTCTGTTTTGGCAGCACACTACGCAGATGATATGATAGTATACTTAGAAAACCCTAAAGACTCAGCAAGAAAACTACTGGACATAGTTGACCAATTTAGCAAAGCGGCAGGATAAAAGATCAACATGCAAAATACAAAAAATCAATTGGATTTCTCTACAGTGACAGAGAAAATATAGAACTGGGCTAAGAAAAACAATACCCACCACAATAGCTAATCACAAGATTAAATACTTGGGAGTAAATCTAACTTGAAACCCAAAGGTTATATTCAAAGAAAATTACAAAGCATTACTACAAGAAACAAAAAGAGAACTGGAGAAATGAAGACTATGCCTTGCTCTTGAATAGGAAGACTCAATATTGTGAAAATGACAATACTACTTAAGGCAATTTACATATTCAATGCAATCTCAATTCAAATACCAATTCCATTCTTCAACGAGATGGGAAAGGCAATCTCCAATTTCATTTGGAATTGAAAGAGATCCTGAATAGGCAAAGCACTACTTAAAAAGAGAAATAAGGTAGGAGGAATCTCACTCCCTGATTTCTCCACTGCCGTGGTGACCAAGACAATGTGGTACTGGTATAATGACAGACACATAGATTAATGGAATAGAATTGAGAACTCAGCAATCACCCCATCTACCTATGGACAACTGATTTTTAACAAGGAGATTAAATCAATTAAGTGGGGAAATAATAGCTTTTCTAATAAATGATATTGGCAAAATTGGAAAACCATCACACATATACAAAAACCAACTCAAAGTGGATCAAAGACCTAGGACTAAAACCAAGGACTATAAACTTCATTAGAGAAAAGCTTGGAAGAATTCTAGAAGCCCTAATCCTCACCGTGAACAGTCTTCCAAGTGTCCTGCAAAACCTACAACCAGGAGAGGATAAAATAGATGAATGAGACCTTCTAAGAATCAAATCCCTAAGCACATCAAAAAACTCCAGCAGATAAAGAGGGAAGCCACAGACTGGGAAAAATATTTGGTAACAACATATCTGATAAGGGACTTCTATCTAGAATTTATAGAATACTTGAGCACCACAACAAGATAAAGGTAAACAACCCAATTGCCAAATGAGCACAGGATATGAACAGACACTTCACCAAAGAAGGCATTCAGATGCCAAACAAACATTTGAAGAAATGTTCAAATAACTAGCTCTATGAGAGATGTAAATCAAAACAAGTATGAGATATCATCTCACCCCAGTAAGAATAGCAAAATTCAACAGAGCAGCAAACAATAAATACTGTTAATGTTGTGGAGAAACTGGAATCCTTATTCACTGTTGGTGGGAGTATAAAATGGTGCAACCACTCTGGAAGGCAGTATGGCTTTTTCTCAAAAAGTTGGAAATAGAAATACCACTAGACTCAGCAATTCCACTACTGGAAATATACCCTAAAGAAACTAGAATTGTCACCCAAGCAGATATATCCACATCTATGTTTACTGCTGTTTTGTTCACAATAGCAAAGAGTTAGAAACAACCCTAATGCCCATCAACAAATGAATGGCTAAAGAAGCTGTGTTATATTCACACAATGGAATACTATGCAGCACTGCAAAACAAGGAATTCAAGAACTGTGATCCAAAACGGGTGACCCTGGAGAACATTATGTTGAGTGAAATAGTTCATTCACAAAAGCATAAAGACTGCATAATGTCACTGTTGTAAAATAGGACTGTCCTCAGGTATGAAGAAAAACTAAGAAAAGAGGGGATAAATAATGTACACCACATTAAAACAGATGAGGGAGAGAACTGTTTAAAAGGGATATATGATTAGGTATTATTTGCATGGTAAGAGTCCAGAAAAAGAGTTGCATAGTAAAGGGGGGCGGGGGGTAGTATAGCAATGAATTTTTTTTCTTTTCAAAGAGAAAAGTGAATTTGGGGTGAAAGGTGGGCAAGGAGAAAAATGTGCAACAATGAATGAATGATAATCCAAGTTCTCTATAATCTCTCATTTAAATATCAATCAAAAAATCACATATAGAAAATTCATACTAAAAAGAAAAAAAGCCTAAACTCAACAGCAATTCACAGTAACAAAACACTTATCTTTATGTGTTTTATTCTCAAATATAATTTATGTGTTGTTGTAATTGTTGTGTACCAGAGAGTTGGAATGGAGCCATACCCGACCTTCTGGTGGGTTTTCAGAGGCAGTTAATCGTATAGGAGGAGATTGCCCATCCCTCTCCTGCAGAAGCTGGTGTCCTGGAGCTATGTGTTTTCGGGATTGCAACAGATCTCCATAGTGACCAAATTACCTATTCACTTGGAATGGAAATCAATGCACTTCGGAACGGGAGTATTTTTTTTAATTGCTGGGTGGTGGGAATATAATGGGGGGAAAGTGGATAGATAATGAACACTTCATTAGGTCAGATGAGGACAAAACTGTCTCGAAGGAAAAATGATTAGGCATTATATATATGACTATAATCTGGAACAAGGGGTGTGTTGTGGGGTAAATTGGAGGAGGAGAGGAAGAAAATGCTCAACCATGGAAAAGAAATACTATAAAAATTGCTATACTGAAACTTCTGAACTGCCGGATGGATAATCTTCTCCCACGTGATTTATAATCTCTGAAAACCTGCTCTAGGGTGAGCTATGAGTCACTTCTGACACACAATGAGTTTGAGCTTATCCCCTCACAAAATAGAGCATTTTTTTTATATTTTGGATGTCTTTAATATAAGTTAGGAAGGCTACTTTTATTGTCTATGAAGTTAAATATGCAAAGAATTTTTTTTTCCTCAAGGGAATATTTGTTCTAATTCTTCATATGTACTGATGAGGAAGGGAATGTTCAAGTAGTGTAAGTGACCCTGCCAAAATAGAAGTAATATAACTAGAACATGTCAAAGCAGAGTGTAGAATTACAGCTTACAACTATAGCCTTCAATATGGATTACACTGCAACATAAAGAAGATAAAAATCCTCACAACTGGACCAGTAGACAGAATCATGATAGTTGGAGAAAAGATTGAAATTGTCAATCATTTCATCTTACTTGAATCCACTACCAGAAGTCAATAACTCAAAAGATACTGCATTGACAAATTCTGCTTGCAAGAACATCTCCAAAATACTAAGGAACAATGACATTGATTTAAAAACTAAAGTTCGCCTGGTTCAGACCATGGTCTTTTCAATCATTTCCTATGCTGGACAATGATTATGGATGATAGAATTGATGTCTTTGAGTCGTAGTGTTGGAGAATTGAACGGAATATCCCACAGAGTGCAAAAGACCAAACAAATATGTTTTGGGAAAAGTGCAACCAGAGTGCTCCTCAAAGGCAAGGACTGTGAAACTTCATCTCACAAACTTTGGGAATGTTACTAGGAGTAGGAGGGGCTATTACTTGGAAATGTGCACATGCTTGGAAAGGTAGAGGGTCAGCAAAAGAGAAGATGACCCTCATCTAGATAGATTAACAGTGACTGCAGCAATGGGCTCAAGTATGTCAGAGTTGATGAGGATGATGTAGGATAGAACTCAGTGTAGATCTATTGTTCATATGGTCTCTTATGAGTTGTTCTCAACTCAATGGCACCTAACAACAATGCCATTCTGGTGTTCCAGTGCCTCATCCATTACACAATCCAAATAAAAAATAAAATGACACATGAGGTCACAAGGTCTTCTTTACTTTTTTTCCCCTAGAATCTTTATTGTGGCTGCCATAAGATCTTTTGAAGATTAACAGTGAAAGCATATGATGATGAAATAAATTCTGTGAGAATATAATAGCGAAGTCAAAGTGATTTGTCAAGCTACTTGCAACAACAATATTTACATAAATTTTATTTAAAAACGTATACAACTGAGTTGAAAGAATAACTTTTTTGTCATTTTTTAAATTAATATTTTAATGAAAATTTATAGAGAACTTGGATTTCCATTCAAAGGAACATCTTCTTAAGAAACCAGGATACCTTCCAAAGTAAAGTGACATTTCTCTCTGTTTTAGAAGCATCTTCATTAATTATTCCCCAAAATTCTGGTCCTCTGGTAGGAACTGCAAAGTGACAAGGAGTCCAAGATGTGTTAGAAATATTTTTAAGCAATATTTGAAGCACACACATAGCATGTCACAAGACACATTTATAAAACTTCTGCTGACCTTTTATGTCTGTGACAACTGTATAGGTAGTAGGACTCCAGTCGCTCCAATATCCTAGTCCATCTTGTCTCTTACAGCGCATCTGGACAGCATAGATTGCACACAGGTCTGACACCACAAGAGTGATAGACTTTGATTCTGTTTCATTCACCTGAACCACCTGCATTATAAAAAAGACAGTATTATCCATAACCATTGCTAAAATGCATGCATCAAATCAATCTAAAATATACTTAAGAATACACAAAGAAAGCTTTAACATTACTACTAAATTTAATAAAACAGACTGAGTTTCTGTGTCCTAAAGACACATATTAGATGCAGACTATGAGCTTTTTCAAGGTAAGAATTGGCTTATCCACACTATTATTTGCTTCCCAATGACAAAGTTTAAAACTTGAAAATAATGTAAAAAATGATGATTATAAAAATATCATTATAAGTTAATAACAATTTCAAGACCATTCCTCTTCAATTTGTCATCCCAATGTAGTAATAGTTAATTTTTTTTTTTGGTAAGTGTCATGACTCATAGCAATCCTACTAACAGATGTGAACCTTGCCCTACCGTGGGTCAATCTCAGCACTTCTGATACACTCAAGCCCTTTGTACAGCTACCGTGTCAATGATCTTGTTGACGTGCTTCCTCTTTTTCTGAACTACATCTTTTTCAGTACAATGTCTTTTTTGAAGGACTTGTCCCTCTTGACAACATGCTTAAAGTATGTGAGACAAAATTTCACCATCCTTGCCTCTAGCACCCTGGTTATACTTCCTCCTTGACAGACTTGTTTGTACTTTTGGCAGTCCGTGGGATACTCAGTACTCTTCTCAAACACCATAATCTAAAAGCATCAATTCTTCTTCTATTATCCTTATTCATTGCCCAGCTCTGATGCATACCAAGCAACTGAAAAGACTACGGGTTGAATCAAGTGACCTTAGTCCTTAAACTGACATTGTTGCTCTTAGATACTTTGTAGAGGTCTAAATATTCCCAATGCAATATACATTTTTCCTTTTTGACTGCCAGGACCAGGGGTGCCGATTGTGTATCCAAGTAAAATGAAATTATTGACAACTTCACACTTTTCTCCATCAGTCATGAGGTAGCCTTTTGGTCTAGTGGTGAGGAACTTTTTCCTCTGGATACTGAGATGTAACCATATTGAAGGCTGTAGTCTGACCATCAGCACCAAGTGTTTCAAGTCCTGTTCTGTTCACTTACAGAAAGGAAAATTGTGTCATTTGCATAATGTGGTTGTTAATGAGTCTTCCTCCAAATCCGATGTCACATTCTTCTTCATAAAGTGCAGCTTCTCAGATTACTTGTTCAGCATTCACACTAAATAGGAATGGAGAAAGTGTACAACTCTGACATACATCTTTCTTGATTTTAAACCATGCAGTGTTCTCTTGTTCATTTTCAACAATAGCTTCTTAATACAGGTTTCGCATAAGTGTTTTGGGATCCCCATTCTTCTCAATATTTGCATAGTACTTTAGTGTTATCAATAAAACACAAGTAAAAATATTTCAAGTATTCTCTGCTTTCCATCAGACATCAGATATGATGTCATTTGTGTTAGGGCTTCTTCTGAATCCAGGTTAAACTTCTGAAATTCTCCTCTGATGTGCTGTTCCAGATGTTTTAAAAGAATCTTTTACCAAGATTTAACTTATATATGATATTAACTATTTTGTTAAATAATTTTTGCACCCTGTTGGATTGCCTTTTTTGGGAAAGGGGACAAATATGAATCTCTTCTGGTAAGTGGGCCAAGTAGTTTTCTTCCAAATGGTATAGGCTAGTGAGCACATTTACAGCTGCATGTGTTAAAGACACCTCAATTAGCTTCCCATCAATTCCAGGGCCTTACTATCAATGCCTTTGAGCTGTGGTGCTGAAGAAGAGTATTGAATATACCAAGGACTGCTAAGAGAACAAACAGGTCCATCCTAGAAAGGGTGAAATCAGGCTGCTCCTTGGACGCAAGGATTCTGAAGTCTTATCTGACATTCTCATCTGACATACTTAGGGCATGTTGCAAGAAGGAACCAGTCCTTGGAGAAGGACATCATGCTTAGAAGAGTGGAGGGAGCACAAGAAAGGAAGACCCTCAGTGAGATGGATTGACTCAGTTACTGGGGTAATTAAGGGTAGCTATGTTTGGAGACCATTAAATTGGCCCAACTTAGAGAAGGTTTCAGAGCAATTGTACATAGGGTCATTATGAGTTGCAAGTGACTTGACAGCACTTAACAACAATAACAAAAACAATAACAACTGTATAAGACTTGGCAGATAAGTGGAGGAATAATAAAGTAAGATACCAGAACTGTAACTAGAGAGATATCACTGGAGGAAAACAAAGCATTCTATGACAAATTTATTGACAAAAATTCATAACAAAATGGTTTCATGGTGATCTTAAAAGACCTGTAGAAAATGCTTAAATCATTTTCTATGACCCTATTGAGAAGTTTGGAAGTTCTTCCAATAACAATCAGTAAACAAGACCTTTTCATCAAACAAACTAAAATGCACAAATCCTACAGGATCACTAGGAATTTGAAGACACTTGACAGCAACCAATTTTGTTCTGTAGGAGTTCTGGTGCTTTAGAACATAAACGTGAATAGCTGCTAACCAAAACCTTCAAGACTCTAGTCCACAGACCCTCTGAGAAAGAAGGATGGGCCGCCTCTTCCCACAAATGTTTAGAGTCTCCAAAACAATGTGGAGGGTCAGCTGGATTAAAAGTCCACTTGTAAACAGTGAGTTTGATTCGGATACAAATAACATGTATCTATGCATTGGAGAGAATACTTATATAAATGATACCTTCCACTGTATTTCTTCTTTATTTAAGCCGTAGCGAATCTGTACTTGAAGTCTATTCACTGGATACATTGGCCTTATCCAAGATACTGTTAATGATCCCAAATGTGGAGTAAGTTCTGCTTTCACACAGGATGGAGGATAGGGTTTAACTAGAAATTTTAAAAAGTAAACAGTATCATTTACCAGCAATTTCAGCAATAATAATGTTTGTAGAACATTATTAAGAAGCTATAATTTTTATTATAAAGCAACACACCTTTCCAAAACTTTTTCATTCATTCTCATTTGATCCCCTAAAACTTGATATGGTTGTAATAAAGGTAGCATGTCTGTTTTGCAAAAAGTTCAATGGAAAAATATCAATGTCACTCTTTAATAGTAAGATCTAATTGGAAATGGAATCACTGACTCTGTACACTATCCTGAACATATGACAAAATCAGCAGTAAACTCTTCCACATTGAACTTTAATTAAGGGATAAACCAAGTTGTGCATTGATTTCTACAAGAATGACTTTGAAACGCACCTGCAGTCTATTATAATTTCTAGGTCAAGGTCAGTAATAGTCTTTCACAGACTATAATTTGAAGAAAACAGAATCTTAATGGCAGAAGTAGAAGCAAAGATGGCCTGAATAGTAACTATGCTTTTTAAAATAATATCTTATGAATAAATGCAGAAGCACACAAGCGAAATGGCTAAATAATATAATAATTACAGAAATGAAAAGAAAAAGGTTTTTTTTCATTTTTTCCTCATTACTTTTTCATGTCTCTACTCTCAGAATTAATAAATATCAAATGTTTAGCTTAGAGTTGTAGTCACTGCATAAATTTCCCCCATGTCTTTATGTTTAAGAGGACTGGTCCCCCTCATAATCTCAGCTCAAGGTACCTGGCAAACTAAAACAGTCCCTAAGCCAAACTTCTGCATTTCCTAACTTGATTATAATTCAAAGCATCAACTTCATTCAAAGAATATATATAGTATTGAATTCCTATCACATTTATCTTATGTTGCATGTGAGTCTGTGAGGAAGCAGAGGAGGGGGAGAATATTCCCTGATATCCTAGGTATGGAGGCCTCGTAGGTAAACACTTGTGCTAAATCAAAGGTGACACCTCTCTGGAGACTAGAATCTGCCAATTGCTCCATAGGATAAAAATCAGCAATCTTCTGTCTTATCCACAGCCTCTGAAAGCTTGTTGAAGGATTAGCCATGAATGGGTTCTGACTCAATGGCGATCACCTAGTGAGCGCCTTCCCACTGAGAAAGAAGGCTTTAAAGTAAAAATCACTTGAAATATAACAAATGATTGGGAGGGGACCTGGGGGAGGGTTTGTAAAACAATGAAAGAATCTTCTCTTTTACTTTTCCATAATTTTTGGACTCATGTACTTATAACTTGTTAGTCAAATTTGTGTCTTCTAGGTTGCAACACCCCCATGATACATCTTGAAG